TGGGGAAAATAATTAAGTCGACACAGGGCTTGGTTACAATAAGTTCGAGACTTTGAACAGAAGTCGGCGTGTCGATGGGAGCGTATCGGGCCCTGAGGGAAGGGGGGGGCGCCTTTTCAGAAATATATCCGGCTTGACGTTTCGTTCAGTGACCTTAGGCTTAGCGCCATGATGTAGCCCATCCGGAACATTACAAAGCGTTTTTAAACACGTTTGGAGGATGTTTCGATAAGAAGTTCGATTTATGTATGGATTGGTGCTTCTACTCCTTCATTTATTAGCTAGACTGCAACTGGTTCGATCGCTAATTGTGCTCGCATTCGATTGCAGTGGTGCTTTGTTTTACAATCACTAGATTCTAGCACGCAATACCGGACTTACTTGAGGTGGTGCGTTAAGCTTGGCTAGTATAAAGGGCCCGAGTGGAAACAGTCAAGCTAACTTTGAAACTGGTGAGTCACCGTGGATGGTACGCGCTCGAGACATGAATTTTGTAACTTTCCAACGGGAAGGGTCCGTGCTCTTAAATGTACAGTTCGTCCATTGCAGTCTTTCTTCCTTTAGGCCTATCCGGCCTGAAGATTCTTAGCAGGCCTCTCCCGAGCCGCTCTATCGCAATCGTTCAGGACTACGTGTGGGCTCGCCTCACGTTGAGGGGCCCATATTTATATGTGCTGTTTTTCGGTAGCATGCGTGGCTCACCGCTCTGGCCAGCTTATCAGTGGGATAAGAGCATTAGACACCCTGGGTATTAGCGGCAACGACTATCCAGAGCGAACATATGGGCCTTTTTTTTGGAAGGCACCAGCCTGACTCGCGCCCAGGTGTACCAGGGTCAACCGTCACGTTCGAACATTTTCGGGATTTTTGCGACCCCCTAGCTCTCGAGGGTCCAGTTGCGACCCCTTGTTTTTGTTGAATAAGAGTGCTAGACGATGAATCCGTGTGCGCCAGAAAGCGTTGCTGCGCGTCGTCGCGGTGCGTGCACTGGAGCGTGAGGCACGTGTCAGCCGGACCTGGATACATCGACGCGGCGGAGAAAATTTTTTAGAGGGGAATAACTTTCGAGGTAAGCAAACCAGCCCGTTTGGCGTTTCGGCTGGGACCGTATGCTGAATGTTGGGGAGGGATGGGGTCCCCAACGGTCGACGGTTTACAGGCGTGGGGGTGTGCAGCTCGGTTTGGTACATAGAGAGCTACTTCAACGCGACGTCGCGTTTGCTAGTGCGCACTGGTCACACGCAGATCCGCACAGAAGGGCTGTCCTTGCTCCAGCCAGGCACCTAAGCTGTTGAGGACGGAGAGGACGGACCCGGGGCGGACCCGTCCTCTCTTAAGGCTTAGTTCTGAGGTAAGCACCAAATTGTGGCGGTTCTAAGGACCGAGTTGAAGTGGTCCGTCCACCGTCGGGGACTCCATCCCCTCCCCAACATTCAGCATACGGTCCCAGCCGAAGCGCCAAAAGGGCTGGTTTGCTTACGTCCTAACTTTCTTGGACGTACTTTTTCTTGATTGTATGATGTGGTGGTTACTATTTTGAATCTTGTACACTATGAGGTGCCGCTTTGCGCAGAAAAAACTACACGGATTGCCTGGAATATCCGGAAAGTACTTTTGTTAGTAAGGTTGCGAGAGTGAAAAACCCAAAATTCTAAGAAGGCGCACCTTCAACTTTGAAGGGCCATAAAATCTTTCGTATGCGACATTTTGGAAATCTGTAAAAAGTTTCAGAAACTTCAAATATTTCTCTAACAAAACAGTATAAAAAGTTTAGTGATTGTCCCCTTTTTCAAAAAATTGTCCCGTTCGAACATTTTTCGTGCAAAAGCGAGTTTTTGGGCTTTCAGCGGCGAAGACATTTTTGAAGACTACGAGATTTCTGCTTTCTTATGTGTTTACCGTTGTCTGGAAGAATCGTCCTCAGAAAATTAGGTCCCGAAGAACTTTAATTTCAGCCCCGAGAAGTCAAACCTTTCATAGGGATGCATTCAACTGTTCTCTATTCCTCAAGGAAAACACCGTCCTAAAACTGTCTCTCTGTGCATAATTAATCGAATCTAATGCGGTCTGCACAAACAATTCTTGCCCTCGGATACGCCACGCACGCGCCTGTGGCTGGCAGTCCTCGAAATTGCGACCCCCTTCCGACCAAAATGCGACCCCTTCGTTCGAACAGTTCGAACGGACGGTTGACCCTGCTCCCAGTCACGTTGAAATGTAAGCTTTTGATGGTGGCTTGAACATGCAGTAGGGGTGTGAACAACCGCTTCATAGTGCAGTCCTCGACGCGCGAAGCATGGGCATGAATACGCCTGATGAGACAGGCTGCGTATATTCATCAGCACAAGTTACTTACACAAACAGGGATGTCCGTCAGTTGAGGATCGAACAGCAAGTGGGCACGTGTATGGCTGCGGTGTTTGGTCCGCGGATTACCGCGTCCTGCCTCCTCCTGGCCTAGCACCGGGTGGGGTCACCGGCCACGTAATCTGGCGCGGGGACCGGGAACGGGGAGCCTAGGAAAACTGCTGTGGTGCACAGGTGGGAGGATGCTGCTCCTTCAGTGTAAGAAATGCTCACCGTGGTGAATGCAGGGCTTCAGAGTTGACCTAATTGCAAGCAAAATCAGCTCTTGTATTCCTGAGAATTGCATAAAAATCTCACCAAAATGAAAACGTCTCACGCTAGCACCTTTTAGTAACGCTTATACATAAAATGCTGGAAATACACAGCGACCACGGTCACTGCTAACAAGGAACGCAAAGTCGCTTCACAAACTATTGTCTGTTGCGCTGTTGCTGCGAATATTTATTCAAAAACCTGGCGGCACGAAGCTCTTGGCATGTCATATAGGACAGGGTAGGCAGCTGCCTTACACAGCAAGAAGTGTCCAACCTCAAGTCGCATCAGGGTAACGGGGGTTGCCCAACAAGTGTCAGTCATTCTGTTTTAGGCAAATTAGGTGTGGTAGTGTGCGACTGCAAGGAAGACTAAGTGAGATAGTATGGAAGACGCATCGCGTCGACTTCCTAAAACCTTCTTCTTGGAAGCGATGTCGTAATTGCTAACCTTGGCCCTTACCGACTTCTATAGGGACATCTGCTTTGCATAAACATAACAACAGCATGCACAGGCTCTTCTTAATTGCGAGCCATTATCCGCTCCACTCAGAAAAAAATGGACACTTTCTGGGCGGATTCGCATGAGGCATGAATGTGCGGAAAGCATGGGTTGTTTGAGACGAGCGTGTCGCGAGCGGGTCGAAAGCATTGCGCCTGATTGTCGCCAGCACACAGCATGTGATTGATTAGTCATTGGTCGGAGTTAGAGCTCCCGACCCAAAAAATTACATTTCGCTTCAAACCATGATCTATTCAGTGATCAAAGGGAGAGCGCGTCTTTGAGGTTGGCACCGCGATTCGCGATTCATGGGACTCGCAAGGTGAGGGGAGGTGGACCGAGGTGCGCGGGGTTTTCCTGTGAGCCAATGTGATCGTATTTGGAACAGGTATGATTTTCGCCGCAAAACTAGGATCTTGTCTGCGAATGAGTGAATCAACGATTCCGTGTGTAAACCCCAACGAGTGCGCAATTAATTCGGAGTCATTCTTCTTTTTAAATAAGTCATTCTTCCGTCATCACTATAACTGCACAGTGAATTAAGACGTTCCTTGAAGCATATCACAGTTGATCCCTCTTGACGGAATTTTTATACGCGTAATTACTATTTAAGCCTACTTGAGCTTCCGAATGGACAACGGGGAATCCTGAGAGCGAGTGTAAGATAATGGAGAAGGAGCTGTACCGCATGGTGTGTCGTGTTGGTGAATTATAAGTGAACTGTTGTTCTATTTATGGGTCGTTCAACGTTTGTATACCATGCCAAAGGTAAAACGGATATCCTGGGAGAGTTGTCAAGTTCCTCCGACGAGCCCCTCCCAGATTGGCAAGGAAAATCGCAAATGTAGTAGCTCAGCAACGTGTATGGAAAATAAGACCAGACAAACGTCTTGAGCGTGTTTTGGTTACCTTTGGGGAGTGACGTCGAGAGCTTCGAGTTTTAGAGGGTAACAAACAAAAAAGATACACAACTCTGTCTAAAATCCTGAGCAACTCAATGCCCTAGAATTCTCATCATTTCCAAGATAATCAGTCAGCAGTTTACTTTAATTTCGTCAGCATTGGCGCTCTGTAAGTAAATTCCTCCTAATGTCCAACTGTCTCCACCTAATCCCTAAGCAGCGTCCGGAAAATTCAAATACCACCCCAAAAACCAGACACCCACTTCCAACCCATGGGTTTTCTATCGGCAAACCGACATGTCAGGAAGAGTGACAACCAGCGTGGGCCGTTGCAAAACATGCGGTGCTATGACACATACAGGCAAACCGTCACCAATACGAGACGTTCTCTTGCACAGAATTCGAAAAATTAGAAGGACTGCTACGCTTCAATTTCCCGTCGGACATCTGTCACAAAAGCCGGCGGCGAGACGCTTCCACTTGTTCCACGGAGTGTTTTCACTGAAAACTATTTTTGACCTTTTAAGTTGTTGCAGTGTCATATCACACTTATACTGCATCATATTCTATCGACTGATTCTTTCTTTGCGTCGCCTGATACGTAGCTGCTCTAAAACGCACTTCCCTTCCATGTCCTTTTCTTTCTACCTTCGCCTGTCCACAGAGTATGGTGTTTATACATTTGCTCACCTTCGAAAGAAGGATCTACATACGTGCGTGAAACTCAGTGTGTTGTCCTTAGCGATCATAACAGACAATTCATGTTGGAGAAGAATTCAAGAAGCTTCCGGGAAGGATTTCTTTGATATTTCTATGGAACAGGCTTCTGAGCTTCCAATAGTACATCCGTAAAAAGGGCGAGAGGCCGCATTATTTGGAGACCCATTGTTATAGACATAATTGCATAGGAGCATCAGTAAGAATGACTGATACGTCTGTGACGTGGCTTGCGGCAAGCAATGACGGCTTATGCCAATGTCATAGATGTTGCAGTATTGGCGTATGAACGGGATCGCCGAGAATCCATTGAGGGCCAAAGCCGCCGGAGCGTATCGGGAAAATCGCCAGTGCACAGATGTCACCATCGTATTTCACAACAAGATTTTCCGTTTCCAGAGTGTAGACATGGTCGCCGATAGTGAAATTGAATGTAGCCTTCGCCGAGCAACGAATTCGATATACCCCGAAGTATTCGACGAACTGAAACAAGGTGAAGCGTTAATGTGTTTCTAAGCAAGTACCCACCCAGAACATCAACTGTAGTGGAACCGCTTCTTCAGGGAAGTTGACAGCCCCGGAAGATGATGAATTTAGAACGCCACATAGTCAGGGCAAAGTGAGGTCTGGCTAGTCCATTGTTCGACAAGTGCTTCTGGAATGCCTAGAAACGACGTGCCAGCGTCAGAAGTCACTTCCCATCCCTTTCCAATGGTGAGATATCCCCCGCGCTGAATGCCTTCATCTAAAAATGAAATATAAATGGCAGAGAACATAGCGAGCAAGTCGATTTATCAGCAACTAATATATGACACTTACATGGAATTGCCAATATGGCGCTCGTGTGAGCTTCTCGTACGCAATCACTTCACCGCAGTTTACGTCGTCAAGGCCTCCATAGGTGAAAATACCTCCATATTCGCTCGAAGTATCTATACATGCTCAACCCCTTTTTATATCTGTTTGCAGGAGATTAAATTTTGAATTTACATCCTCTATGTTCTACCAGAAGCACGGTAAAACACGCGGAATCCACTAATCGCCATCTTCGACAGCTTGCTTGGAGCGGGGGACTGCACGTCCTTCATGTGGCAAGCTCTTTAACGTCCTAATCCAAAGTATGCCCATCAAGTGTGTTCTATACTATATCTGCGCAGAAGAATTAGGAGAGCGTTTCAGGGCAATTAGTTCTCTTCCTTCCCTGCAGAAGGTGTTCTCTGCGATCGGGGAGACGGTGTTCAAAGCTTCGTGTGTGAAATATAAGACTTTAGAAAAGCCACTATAGCAAAGCCACTGGACTGACTGGGCACTCGCTTCTGGATGTGGTCGGGGTGAACGCTACGAAGTGCGTGGGAGGGGTGGGGGCGAGCACGCATTAGCTCCAAGTTGAACACTCGAGTTAAATCAGCTTTCAGCATGCGTTGAGGTATCCTAAACAGGGGTAGGTCCACTACATAGGAGGGGACTGTGTGGGTTTTGGGAATGATTAGAGTAGCGGTAGCCTATGCGGGAGTGAATTTACTCGCACCGGATGTCGAACGCATGGACGCATCCCTGAGCGAATTTCACCAATGCCATGCACTTCAATTCGCTTCCTGCGAGGATGATGTAAGTTTGATGCTCATCGAGTCGTTTCCGAAAGGAAGTTTTTAAAATGACAACGAGTACATCAGTGCATTTGTCAGCGTCAACTTCATAAACACGTGTAACCGAAACGCTGCCGTACAATTCTGCAAACTTTAAAAAAAGTGGCCTGTTCTCAGCGTCTGTCGAGTGGTGTATTCATTTGAGCGGATGAGGGCTTAGTGGTCATTTTCAAGGCTGGAATAAAAATCTGAGCTCGGACTGTCAATGAAGAATTCGACAGGATGTGGGCTACTCTTTTGTTGTTCTGAGCAGTCAAGGATCGTGGATGGAGCGGAGTGTGTGCTGAGTATAATTATCAGGGTGCCAGATAAATCTTCGAATGCATTAAGGAGAACGACCAAGTTATCGTGCGATTTCTAGATTGGAACGTTCATTATCATGCAGAACCTTGATCTGAGCTTGCTCATCTTCAGGAAGAAGTATGGCGCGAATTGACATGATGACGAAATGAAAACAGCAAAGTCGGATTGAAATCGGTGGAAATTTCGGCGCCAAAATCTGATCTCCTTCAAGTGTCTACATACTTTTGAAACAGAGAAGAACAATCCGAAAATTTTTTTACGGAAAGTGACCGAGGAATTGTTGAGGAGGGTTTCATAGCGCGAAGCTTCTTGGCTGCCTTTTTATCATGGATTTTGAGGAGTCCACATACTTATGAAACAAAGAAAAGAATTCAATCCAAAAAAAATTCACGAAAGTAAGGCGATATTATCTGCTCAACTTACAATGATACTTTCACCTATTTTTCCTAGAGGAACGCTGCGAAGGTTGCATATTTAGCAACAGGACCACGCGTCTGTCAATGTTTCGCAATCTACCAAAGAATGGCTCAACCAAATGGTGCTGAAGCGATAGATTGGCTTGTGTGTCCTCCTTACTGCAACCCTATAGGGAGCCCTTGATCAAGGCGTTAACTTTAGCAACCGGCAGTATAATACCGCGGATGAACTGCGGCGGTAGAGGCTATTTGGGCCGACAGCGACGAAACAGCTATGCCAAACGTGGTTCAGATTATGCCGGACAGGATGTTTGAGCTAATTAGAAACTCTGGAGGCCCCACTGATTTCTAATCTCAGCTATGTTTTTGTCTTTTGTTAAGTGTGCACATACTTTTGAAACAAAGAAAAAAATTTCATCCAAAATTTTTTTTGAAAGTGAGGCGATATTATCTGCTTTGCTTCCATTGATAGGTTATCGACTACGAGAAATCGATTGAGAGGGTTTCATAGCGTAGAGCCTCTTGGCTGCTTTTTTATCGTGGACTCTTGAAGAGTCCACATACTTTTGAAACAAAGAAAAGAATTCAATCCAAAAAAATTTTACGAAAGTAAGGCGATATTATCTGCTTAACTTACATGATACGTTATCGACTACGAGGAATCGATTGAGAGGGTTTCATAGCACGAAGCCTCTTGGTTCCTTTTTATGGTGGAATTTGAGGAGTCCACATACTTTTGAACGCACTGTATGCTCCGCGTACGTGCCCCTATTACAAGCAAAAAGCCGTTTTCGAAAAGGCGTTCTATGTCCTGAAAGAATTCCCTGGTAAGTGGCACTCGGACCAGGGTCCTCAGCTCATTCACAGCAGGTCAGGCATTTCGTATACCCAACGTATCAAGCAATTCCCATTGAGTAGAGCAAGTCCACCGGTGTAGACCGCATTATTAACTTTACTGATTTGGTCCGTATGGAAAATATGGCTTTTTAAAGTCCAGAAACTAGTAGCTCTCAAGAATTTTTCTCATTATTATTGCAGAAAGCCTCAGCCGGACCATTTCTGAAGTACTGTATGTATCGATTCATCTCGAAAACTCTTGAGTAGTGTCAGTCGCTTACTTTACAAAACTGTGCTAAGTCATATGAAGTAATGACTTGCGAGGGAGTAGCTTCTTTTGAAAGAGTAGAAATTCGCGTTTTCTAAGAAATACATGCTTCCTCGTCAATTGCTCGAAAACAGTAATTCCTGTTTTTTTAATTCAATTAACTGCTAGAAAGCACTCGTCAAGAGACATGAAAATCTCCTTTCTTATCAAGAAAGTGTCTCCTTTGAAAAAGAAGTTCTTACTTTTACTTACTTCTTACTTCTCGACCGCTATTCGTCCCGGGCACGCCAGAAACGCAGGTCGCACATCTTCCAGGTCGCTCTGCTTCGGGCTCTTCTGCGCCACAACTGGCCGTACATCTTCACGAGAGGGTCTGCCCATCTGGTGGGGGTCTGCCTCTGGGCCTTGTTTTTCCCCTTGGGTACCAGTCAGTCACTCTCTTCGTCCAGCGATCATCGGTAAGTCTAGCCACATGACCGGCCCACCTCCGCTTGGAATTATAGATGGCATCGACGACGTCCTTCACCATCGTACGAGCGCGGATGGTGTCATTGGGTATGCGGTCTCGGAGCGTTACCCCGCACATGGCCCTCTCCATGGCTCGCTGAGTGACTGCGAGTTTCTCCTCTTCAGAGACTGTGGTGCTCCACGTCTCCGCCCCGTAGGTCATCGCGGGAAGAACATGCGAGTTGAAGACGTGAGCTTTGACCCCGGGGTCGACGTGCTTAGAAGTTAGTACATCTCGAAGTTTATTGAACGCGGTCCAGCCCGCTCTGCGGCGTCGGCTAATCTCGAGCGTGAGATCGTTATTCATGTTGACCGCTTTACCGAGATATACGTAAGAGGAGACTCGCTCGATCTCCTGGCCTTCTAGGAGGATCGGCTGGTACTGAACTTGTTCGTTGTGCATCCACTGAGTCTTGCCGGGATGAATTTGTAGTCCGATTTTGCCTGATGAGGCTCAGGGATTGCGCAATGTCGGCGGGGTCCTCGCCTATCAGAACACAGTCATCAGCGAAGAGGAGATGCGTTAAGCGAACGCCGTCGATGTTCACTCCTCCGGGCAACGAGATTCGCCTCATGATGTTCTCGAGCGCAATAGCGAACAAGTTCGGGGACGTAACCTCGCCTTGTCTGACGCCGCGCCGGATTTGAACACGGACCGGTGTTTTTATGAGTTTGATATCGGTATAACAGCCCGTGTTGCACTGCCGCGTGATTCTAATATAGGGCTCGGGGATACCGCACTCGCGCATGGCGTTGTATACACTCTCATGCTCCACTGTGTCGAAGGCCTTTTTGAAATCGATAAACAGAAGACACAGTGGGGTGCGGTACTCGCGGCAACGTTCCGTCAGCTGTGATATTACATGAATATGGTCAAAGTAGGTCAAAGTGAAAAAAAGTTTAATCACATGAATACTGTAGTGCTCAGAAGTCTTCGGCGAACGCTTATTCAGCACAGTTACCCACTGCTGCGATCAAATAGAGTCAAGTTTGGTTATTCTTAGATAGATCTTATACAATTAGGACATTTGATATAGATAAATCTTCTCACGAAGCGTGTTTTTATGGTTGAATAGGCGAAAGAATTTAGAAAGGAAAAAATATTACACTACAAATTCTAGAGTATGATCGAATTCCAAGTACATTTCAATTTATTGTAAAAAGCTCACAACTCAACAAAATAACCTACTGCATGAAACGCAAACGTTGAGCAGATTCAACACATTCTCTTGACAACATGCTTGAGTTGCGAAACCTCGACAAGGTCTAGATGTGGAATCGATCGCTGATTCTATGGGACAACTTCCCAATTTTCTCAAATTAAACAGGTTTCTTTCCTACATACTTGGCTGTTTTTCCTGCCAAAGGTTTTCCTGCCTTAATCCAAAGAGTTTCGATGACGCTCACGTGTGACTGAATTGGTCGCTCCGTTAGAGACACGCCATCCTAGCGAAACCAGTGCTCACAGTGGTGCGCGCTTGGTATCGCTCATTGCTTAGATGATGGACATTGGCGGGCAGTTGACATAAATACAAGCACTTGTATGACCGTACTGCATCCGTGGACTGACTTCACAGTTCGCGAAATCCTCTGCAGCGGTACAGTTTTTTCTACGGCCTACCATAACCAAGCCTTCACCTGGTTACAAAGATGGCGGCTGCTACTATGGATCGAAACGCTCCTCGTTAGGACCACCTACATGCCTATTGCTGTCGCCGACAAACATTATTAACTCTCGTCGCTTCAGACACTTTAGGAACACTGTTTGAATCTCCAGTGCGTAAGCACATTCTATCTTCTACACTCCATAGTCAAACAACTTCACAGGAATCCTGAGCAGTGAAGGCAGACGGACGTAGTTAGGTTCTAGGAGGTGCTGTGTTTTCGCACCACGATGTCTTCGTTCTCTAGCAATGGAGCGATTAAAAGCTTCACCTCCACTGTGAAGGAGTGGTTTCGCCAGCATGCGTGCTTCTAACGGAGCGACCAGTTCAGTCACATGTCCTGAGCGTCATCGAAACACAATGGAAGAATTTACCGAAACCTGTGGCAAAAAGAGCCAGGAATTGGAAGAGAAACTTGAGGAAAAATTGGGAGGTTGTCCCAATAGA